ACTGGATGGTGCCTGGCTACCATGACTGAACATTTTGATCAAAGATTCCATAGGAGAATCCTAATCAAAGGGGGATAAATGCAGAACAGAATTTGAAATTCTCATGGTCTCTAGACTTTCTGGAGCCATGGAAGGCAGATGAACCCCTGAAACTATTGCCCTGAGATAATCTTTAAACCTTAAATCAAAAATATCCCCTGAAGTCATCTTAAAACCAAACAATAGTTTAGCTTACTGGTGGAAAAGGTCTGCCTGGAGCATTGTGCTCTTTTAAGAACTATCTCTTTGGGATCAAACTGACAGCAGCAACTCAAAAGATTAGATAGGAACCTTAGGAGGTAGTGAGTTTATGTTGATGAGGGAGGAAGAACTCCAAAAAGGAGGGTGAGAATGGTTGCACAACTCAAAGAATGAAATCAATGTCACTAAATTGTACATATAAACAGTTGAATTGGTGCATGTTTTGCTGTGTATATTCTCAACAACATCAACAAAATAAATAAAATTTAAGGGGAATAGAAAAGAGAGATTATTATTTTCCCATGGAATGGACCTAGCATTTTTGTTAAAATCAATTGACCATAGATGTATGAGTTTATTTCTGGACTCTCAATTTTATTTCATTAGTCTGTATATTTATCATTATACCAGTACCAAACTTCATAGTACATTTTTATATTGGGAAGTGTTATTCCTCCAACTTTGCTCTTCTTTTTTTTTTTTTTTCCCAATTTTTAGTATGATTTGGATGAAGGTTGGCAGAGCAAATTCATTTTTCTTACAGCAGCTCACATACACTTTGTCTCATGACATTGACTGCAATCTCCCAGAATGTAACAGCTGCCCTCTCACTTTCTCCCCATAGTTACCTCTTCCCTGTGTCCATCCCTCCCATGCATTCCTGCCTCCCAGAAACTCTCTCCCTGTGCATTCACAGCCCTTCTATTTTCCCATGATTGATCTCCCCAAGGAGTGTATCTACCTAATGTAAATATTCAGCTCATATGCCTGTCTTTTGTTTGGCTGGAAGCCACAGGAGTGGGTTCAGTTCCAGACCTGAGGGTAGCTAGGGGCCATAGTCTCAGTAGTTCCACCAGGCTCTATCAGACCAGCAAACCTGGTCCCTTATTCTTCTTTTTGAAGATTGCTTTGACTATTCAGGACCCTTTGCAGTTCTATATAAATTTGATGATTGGCTTTTTCATTTTTGCAAAGAAGGCTGTTTATATTTTGATGGGCATTGCTTTAACTATATAGACTGATTGACATCTTAATAGTATTAATCCAAAAGTTAAGGGATTTCATAGCTCCCCTTTGTTTCAATCAATTGCATTAATTGTTTTTGATGGTCAAACTGTTCCATCTTTGAATATTTGGAGTCCTTTTTTGTATTAGTTTTGAAAGTGATATTTTAAAAGCATGCTTATGACATCAAACATTTGCACTTATGAGACTGTACCCTCTGAAATAATTTATTTGCATCTTTACCAGTTTTGACAAATGATTGCTACAAGCATCCAAATGCAGCATTGATCAAGAACATTTCAACCTAATGCATCTTCCTCAAATAGTACTTTATGGTTAAAAATAGGTGAATATGGAGAAGTACCACATTGCATGTGATATTTTATAAGTATTTGAACATAACACTTTTTCATGAGAAAAAAGTGTTTTTTTGGGGAAAAAATCTTAACTTGTATTTGTGCATATATAGTGCACTTTCGTGTATTTTTAACACAAATGGTAACATACTATATATCTTCTTTTCTGTTATGTTCCTATGTCTTGGGGATAGCTCCATTATCAGTATCTCAGTCTTTTTAACGGACACACAGTCTTCACTGTTTAGATGTACCATAATTTATTTAACCAGGCCCCCATTGATGCATATAAGTTTGTTTCCAATATTTTGCTATTACAAAAAAGGTTTCAATAAAGAACCTTATAAATAAAACATTTCATGCATAAAAACCAAAACCAAACTCACTGCTATTAAGTTGATTCGACTTATAGCGACCCCTCCCTGTGTTTCCGAGGTGGTATGTCTATGGAAGTAGATTGCCCAATCTTCCTTCCGAGGAGTGGCTGTTAGGTTTGAACCACCAGCCTTCTGGTTAGCAGTCAAATGCCTTAGGCACTACACCACCAGAGCATGCAAGGTAAATTCCTAAAAGTGGTGGTGTTACATGAAAGGATATGTGCATTTAAAATTTCCGTGTTGTCCTCCATAGAGGTTATTCTATTTAACACTTCCACCAACCACATAAAACCAAAAACACCAAACCCACTCCATCGAGTTGATTCTGACTCATAGTGACCCCCATTAGCTTTCCAAGGCAGTAAATCTTTGTGGAAGTAGATTGCCCAGTCTTGCTTTCACGGAGTGGCTGGTGGATTTGAACCACCAACCTTCTGGTTAGCAGTCAGATGCCTTAGGCACTGTGCTACCAGAGCTCCTTACCAACAATATATGATAGTGCTTTTAACCCACATTGTCACCAATATGGCTGTATTCATTTATTTGGGATTATTGCACCATAATTAAAACCCACCCCACACTCATACTGAAAAAAGAAAATGTATAAGAAAAGAACTAACAAAAATTCATGTGGCAGAACAAAGAATTCCTAAAGAATCCATTGGCCAATATAGTCCACATCTGCATAACCTTAAATGTCTTTTGTTGCATGTGGTGTCTCTTCATAGATTAGACCAGGCATGTGGCTAAGTTTGACAAAAGCGATAACAGGAGCATTTCTTGGAATCATTTTTCTCTTAGGCTTAAAGATGTACATCTGGCCAAAGGAATTTTGTCTGACATCTGACTCCTTGCCAACCTTATCATTATAAAGAATGACATTATGATAAATTCATCAGGAATTGCAGACAAGCTTTCCTACTAGTTTCTGTGTAACTAAAACCTCTGTCCCTGTCCCTCTAGTTTTACAATGAAGGCCAGAAAAGGTTTTAAGAGGCAGTGGGACTGGAGAAAGTAAAGATAGCATGTGAAATATTTCTTCGGATTTATCCATGTGCTATACGTTGAAGTGCCTCCCTTCTCCTTACTCTTATGTGAAGTTTCCATGTTGAAGATGAATAGTTTTGAAAATCATTTCTTAAAGGGCTTGATGAATAACAGCTTGGTTTGGGGAACCTGACAAAGCAGTGTACAGCAGAGAACTCAAGGATAAGTGCAGAAAATAAAACCTCTGACATGTTTTCTTTTGTTCAGGAGACTGAGCAAGAGCAGAAGTGGTGTCTGGTGTGCTTACGGAAGTGGTTATTTGGGTAGGACCACCCACTCAAAAAGCATTTGCTTCTTCATCTGATCTGTTTTGAGCCACACAAGGTAGAGCATGCTATGAGGCACAAAATGGATGTGGTCTGAGCTTTATAATAGGCTTTGGGATAGAGGAGATGGGAAATACATTAGCATTTGTAAAGAACATTGTTTATGAAGCAATGGACAATGCTCTTTGTTCTACTTAATTCTCTTAAGTGCACTGTGTTGTGTGCTGTCCCTTGTAAAGAAAGATGATGCCACTCAATCAACCATGATTAACAGAGTTTGCACGTTAAGTTGTTTTTTCCAGCCTTAGTAATGAGCTTGCATTAAGCCATCTGCCCCCCTTTCCTGTCCAGGTACTCTTGGAACCAATGACACACACTGTGAAACAGCTGCTTAGAGCTAATGTTGGAGAGAGTAGCTGACAGTTATCTGGCCTTTCCAGGGATTAAGCCTTGTAACTGTGGCCACATTATCACTGGGCTACAACCCACTGAGCTCCCTGGCACCACAATCATAATGTGTTACAGCTCTATTTAAAATTAGATGACCATGAGTACTCTAAGATAAATCATACCCTCCCTAAAGAAGAGAAAATTCTGTGTTCCAATTAATAATTCTAGTAATTAAAGGCCATACCACCAGGCCATAGCTACATTCTATGTACTTAGAAAGGTACTGAGATAACAGCTTTTTATATTTAAATGAATTAAAGATGCATTTTTGAGAAGTAAGTTACACTAAAGAAAATGCTCTAAAACTTTCTTTCTGGAAAAGTTATTGCATACAGTGGTGACACTGTTCTTTATTGTTACTGAGCCCTAAAGGATATGTGTCTCAACAAAACAAGTAAATGTGTGGTCGTACCAAATAATATACATATCTATTTATTTTTACGGGAGCTCTGGTAGCAGAGTGCCTAAGGCACTTGACTGCTAACAAGGAGGCTGGCAGTTTAAAACCACCAGCCACTCCTCAAAAGGAAGGTTGGGCGATCTACTTCTGTAGTGATACTGCCTTGGAAACCCAAGGAGGGGTCGCTATGAGTTGGGTCTGACTTGATGGCACACAACAACAGCATTTATTTTTTCGTGTAAAGTACATTAATATAGTGAGACAATTTCTACATAGGGGTTTATAAATAATAATTGTTACTTAAATACTCAGCAGAAAAGAAAGTGTAGTCCTAAGAACTAACCCTAGGCCAATTCTCAGGCACATGACCAGTCTTAATTGAGTTAGAATACAGAAGAACC